CTCCTCCTGGTACCGCCTGTGCTGCTTGGCAGGCAGAGCAGCCTGGGAGCCTTAGAAGTAGAGCCCAGAGCTTTCCATGGCTGAGGCTGTTTGTAAGACAGTGCACACAGAGCACTTGCCAGCTTTTTGAAGAGCTCAGTACAAAAGGCAAACAAGGAACGGAAACCTCATCTACTCCAACAATCTCAATACGTCACAAAGATCCTCTGATCTGCAGCTCCCAAGTTCAGATTTGGAGATATGATTTCCCTCCCTTAATATTTCAGCACAAGCCCCTTCTTCCCTGTTGCTGACGCTCTTCTCATTTTCATACCTTATCACCACCCTCTAACTTTATCTATAATCTTTGGAGCACAAGGAGGGATAGTATGTCTTGCACCCCAAAGGTTAAGCAATGAGAGCTATTGCAAAACAGCACAGCAAACCCCGTGGGCAGAATGCACCAATACTTGCATTGGGAGGTGGAAACATTTGGAGCTGGACCCCAAGAAGGCTGTATGCTCATCCTTCCAGTTTTCTGCTGTGCACACAGGCTGTGGTGTTACACAGACTCTCCCACTCACAGGAGTGGGTTTGGCCCCGTGATGTTTCATACTCTGTTACCACACACTTTCATGCTATTTTCATGTCTGGAGCATCTCCACTTAAATGTCAGGCATCCTTCTGCTCCACTGCTTGGCCACTTCCATCCCTTTGGATTGTTTCTTTCACAGAGCTAATTCTGATTATACAACTATAGCAACTAATACTAACTATAACAACTAATTCTAAATGTATAAAGTTTCCCTGACCATTGAGGGAAACAATGAAAGATCAAAACTGCTTTACACTTTCCTCTGTTTATTGCTTGCTTCCTCCAAGACAATTCTTAAAACTCTCTCAAGACCAGCAATATCTAATGCTATGGAATAGCTGGATGAGAAGGGAAGCCACTCAGGTAAAAGAGTTCTGTTGCCTCACTGGGTGCTCATTCACAGGATAATATCCACATGGGAATGCCCAGCTTGGATCTAGTCAGGAAGGGGATTTTTCCCCACCTTCTCAAATCACCAGCAGGTATTTCACGGTGAAATGCTTCTCCTTCTCCTTACTTAACTGAATTATGGGTCCTTGCTGAAGAAGTTACATTACCAGATGAATAACAGAAGAATAAGCCTTTGCTGAAACAAACCACAGTAACCAGCCTTACTAGTAGGTGTACTGTGCCTATAATAGACATTTTAAGGTGACAGCCTTAAAATCACATCATTTCACTCACCTAAAAGAGATCAGAGACTATTAAGACTTCACTGGATGCTTTTATCTGTATCTCCAGGCTGAAAAGGCAATCTTACTTGTACTGCTACACTTGGGAACAGAAAGGCAGCATGTACAGCTGCAGGAAATAGTACTGATTAAAAACTGCCTAGTCAGAGAACCTCCATTTTGGCAAACAAAACTACATCAACTTATACAAAGGATTTAACTTCCTGTGTCAAGCTGAGTCTGGGGTAACTGGGGAGGAGTGAGGGCACTTTTAATATGCTACCACCTCATCAGGTGTCCCTGGTGGGCCCATGTGACAGGTAGACAAGTTAGAGAGATGACTTTCCAGTCATGGTTTAATTCCAGCAGTCAGCAAATCCCCACACAGCCCCACACTCACTCCTCTGCTGTAGGATGGGAGACATAATCACAAGAGTGATAGTGTAAAAATCTGTGATTTGAGATAAAGATGATTTAATAACCAAAAAAGAGGACAAAAACAGCAGGCAGAGAACATTAAAATAAAACACCAACCAAACCCAAACCAAACCCCAGAAAAACAAATGATGCAAAAAACCAGTTGCTCACCCTGAACTGACCAATGCCCAGCCAGTCCCTGAGCTATGGAAGCCCCAGCCAACCTCCACCCTCATGGTTTTATTGCTGAGCTTAATGTCATATGGTGTGGAATATGCCTTTGCTCAGTTTGGGTCATCCCCTTCCAACTTCTTGTGCACCCCCAGCCTACTTGCTGGCAGGGCAGTGTGAGAAACAGAAAAGCCCTTGACACTGCACAAGCACTGTTCAGCAATGATGAAAACATCCCTGTGCTCTCATCACTGTTTTAATCACAAATTCAAAGCACAGCCTCATACAAGCTGTTATGAAGGAAACTAACTCTATCCCAGCCAAAAACAGCAGAGAACAAGGTATGCCCTTGACTTCCAGCAATCTGCTGCTCAACAGAAAACTCCTAACACTGCCATTGCTTTAAGAGAGATGCACATGGGCTCCAGCACAGCATTTTTCACTGCTGTGAGTTGATTTCTTGTTCTCAAGGACTTTGACAATCCCACCTCTGCTTTAACTTCCACCTTCTTGCCAATGCCCACAGTAACACAGATATGAGCAGCAGTAGGGGCTCACTACAGCTACCTGGTGTAGTAAAGATGCTTTACTATGTAAGCAAATCTTAAAGTGTCTCTCTGGGCCTTAAGTGTTTAAATTCAGACAAAGAGGAGACACCCACTTCTCTCCTCTGTTAGCTGTCCTTGCTATACAGAAAGGAGTAGGCAACCTACTTAAATACTTTCTGGAAACCTCATTTACAGACACCTATAGAACTCTCACTAAAAAGCCAAGTCCTTTCCCCATCTTCTCATACTGTTACAGAGGAAGCACTTGGATTCACGTTTCCTAAGGTATTTTTTCTCTCCTGACTATATAGGCAGTTCAAGCTCCTAAATTGGACATAGAAGGTGGTGTTTCTGGCTGAGTACTTAATGGGGAGAAACGAGGGCTGAGATAAGCAAAAAAAATGACAGGCTGAATACCTGAAATAACCGTAACTAAAAATATACTGATTGGGGTCTACTGGTTCTTTCTAAGAGGAGGAAAACTATGTAAGAGAGGAGGAAATGAGAGTGTGAATGCAAGTCACAGCAAGTGCAGCAAAGCTCACAGTAGCTGGAAGGATTAGTGTATCATTTCCTGCCGTGTGCTGCACAAAGCAAGACAAACCCAAGGATGCAAGATTGAAAAAAAGGCTATTGTGTGATTTTCGACATCTGAAGCAACTGGGGAGATGTCAGGGAGGTACTCCAGGATTAAGATAAGCCACTGCTGGATGTGTTAATCAGTGGGCTGTAGACTGCAGCAGCCCTGGTGTGGGGTGGTGCCCTTCAGGAGGAGGGCAGGGTACCTTGTATGAGGGTGGCAACAACTTCCGCTGTCCAGACTGAGCCTGAGTCATGCAATGGGCCTTTGCCAAGAGACCAAACTCCTCTGCATCAATGGGCAGCTCCTGGGGCCTGGCAGACAGGAAAAGTGTCCTGACCCAACAGCCTTGTGAGGACCCACCAGCTGTTCATGGATTTTAAAAGACATCCATTACACTGGGGAACAAAACCACTTACACTTGTTTGTACGAGATAGGTACAAATCTTGCCTGGCCCATGGTGGTGACACAGGGGTGCTGCTCAGCCTCTCTGCAACATGAGACTCAGCATTCAGCAGCTTCTCCAGCTTGGTCAAATTCTCTACTGAGTAGAGTGTCCGAGAAAGAAATGAGATTTCCTGTTCTGTCATGTGAAGAAGACACTGGCTCCAAGTCAGGAAAACGTGTTGCAGAAATTCAGTGTGGGAAGAATTGTCACTATGCAGCTAATACTGCAAACCTCGAATTTTGCCTTAAAAGGCAAATAAGCAAAGTCCTCTCTAAGAACTAACTGCTGGTCTCAGGACCGGAGGTGGAAGTTCTCAGATCTAAGCCTGGAATTTGAGTCTGGATTAAATCCAGATGTCAGGATCACACCCACTCCCTTAGAAAATTCAGATCTCAATATAGACAGTGGCTTGTGCGTGGGGAGGGGGAATTGTTTTTCTGGCTTGCCCTCTTTGACACTGACTGGATGGGAAAAAATTAGGAGTATGCACAGCTCTGACTTCAGAAGTGGGCAAAAGGGATTAGATGTTGCTAATTACAGTACAGTTATAGGTTTTCATTTGGACAGGCTGAGTGCAGAGGGGCAGTCAGAACCAAGAGTCAGCACTCTTGGTTTTCTGCTCAAGTATCTAAATGAACTCTTCAAAGCATAAAATTCATTAAAATCCTATGAAAGGACCTACCTGTGGACAGATTGCAAGGCCAGATGAACACCACAAACCTGTGAATAAAGTTCTATTTCTAGGAATACGAGGCAAAACATGCTTGAGAGAAGAGGAATGGGAGGGAAGTATTGAAGGTAACTTACACCTGAGCCTACATGGCAAACCAGTAACGTGGAAGGAGACCATCTTCACCAGCAACTCTTCACAGACATCTGCAGAAATCAACTTGACCCTGTGGCAGGGGATTTTTTTTCCCATTTCAATTTCTGTAGGGGAAGCACTTTCTATGGCTTCTCACTTCCCTCCCAAACTACTGGAAATTAATCTTTTTCTCCCCCCTCCTTGCTACTTATTTAGCAAAGAAATGGACAAATCACAGCTTCAGAAAACCAAAATCAGAGGCTCTCAGGGTAGCTGAGAATCTTCCCTTCCCTTCCCCTGCAGCACATGGGCCTTTCAGGCAGTCGAGCTTCCTCTGCTGAATCCATCTGGTACATACCTCAAGAACCAGCTCCAAAACACAGGCATAGCAAGGAAGCACCCAACTTCTGACTGAAACTTTGTCATGGACAATGGAATAAATTTGTCCTCACACCAGTGCTCCCCCTCAGCTTAAACCATTTGCCTCCTTTATTCCATGCCACTCTGCCCTTCCCGTATTCCCAGGCAGCCGCTACCTCTCCCCCACACACTGTACCTGCCATCTCTCCAGACAGGCTGCCTAAGCCTGCTCTCTCCCTCAGGATGGGGCCCCTGTTCCCCCCTGGCTGCCACTGGCCCTGTTGCTGTTTGCCAGGAGATCTTCAATTTGCATTTGCGTGGCACTTCATGCCAGTTCCCCCTGAGCCCTGTAGGATGGCAGTAATACATCGCCACAATTAACATCCTTAAACACCATTTAATTAATCCACTGAAGCCCTAAGAAATTTTAATTAACGGCAGCTTTATTAGTATTTACTTCACCTTCAACACGTAAGCTCCGGCAGTATTTCCAAAGGGAGGGCACTGGCAGAGCAGTTGACAAGACGCCCCTTTCCCCTGACTTTTCCCCGCTCTGTGGCTCCCAGAGCTCCCAGCCAGCTCTGGGCTGACAAGGACACGTTCCTCCGGCAAACCTCCAAGATGAGGGTCAAGTAAATGTCATTCCTTGGCTCTGCGCAATTCCTGTCATGCACAAGGTTAAATAAATTCACCAAAATCAAGCTTTAAAGAGGTGCTATTGCAGCGTTTGATTAACAGCAGAGATTGTAGGGAAGTCTGACAGGAAAGCCGAGAGTTCTGCTCCATTTGGAGATCCCTGTGTCGCAGCCAAGGTCGCTGCGTCTCAGCTACCAACCTTGAGTGATGTTTGTGTAAAAAGCAGATGCTCTTTGGGTTTCAGGCTTCACATGCACTCTTGAAAACAAACCCACAACTTCCTGAATTCCAGCAACACAGCAGACTAATGTACTTCACCCCTCAGCCCTGCAAAATGGCAAGATGCTGCTGTTAAGATTACCTGGATAAAGAAGGATTATCAGATTTTTGTGGGATCAAACCTGCTGTGGCAGGTGTCCAGGCGGATGAGCTCTGCAGCCTGTTGCAGCACTCTGCCAGCACATTTGCCCAACACCTTTCTCTGGTGCCTCTTAGGACAAAACACACATTCCCTCTGTCCCTCTGAGTTGAGTACCATGGACAAACAATAAGGGAAAAATGGGAGGAGAAGGAAAAATACTCTCAACATACTATAAATCGAGCATACAGGTGTTGATTTCTGTTGTTAAAACTGCAATTAATCCAAGGAGCACAGAGTGACCCCTTAGGTCCAGACATATAATTAACTCTGTGTGCAAAGGAAGCTTGACAGCTATCTACGTGGTAGAATGTCATGATGTTTCCTCAATTTTTAAAGTAACCGATATGATACAAAGCTTCAGGGTAGGGAGTCAAATATTGCTGTTTGAGGGAGCAGGGACAGCAGTAATCTGAAACACAGATCAGATGTCTTTAATCTTCAAGCCCTAATTAACTATTATTTTGCAAAATACTTGAGGCATGTAACACTAACCAAAAGCCAGCTATGGGGAAGAAAACAAACCTCCTCATGAGCAACTGAACTAATAATTTGAAACACTATCCCGCTATTACTAAATGACCCAGACTCCTGCTATCATAACTGCTGTACAGGCTCAGGTCAAATGCCACAGCCTTACTTTAATAATCTATTTACATAACAAATAAAAACTAGCATATATCTAATTTAATGATGCCCACTGATGGGAAGCTGTTTCTGCATTACACTGACAAATAATGAGCTGCTTAAGATCTGAGCATCGACACTTGTTAAACAACGCTGTCTTAAATTTCTAATAAGCAAGAAAGAACTGCGCTTAAAACACACCTGTTAAAGCCTTACTAAAACTCAAATCCCACGCCCTGCCTTGTAAAGTCCCAGCTACTTTTTTCAGGGCTCTGTGAGGAGTATGTGAGGGCAGAACTCTGTCCCACTTTCTACCTCAGAGCTTGGTAACATGCTGGAACTCACAGTGAGTCTGACACTTGACTATGTTTGAGGGTGCCTTCCTCCTGACCAGCTTGCTCAGATCCCAAAGTTAATGTACTGCAGCCAGCATCCTCAGACAAATACCCTGCTGGTCATTCCCCTACCCTCTGACAGAAGGTAAAGACTAGTCTAAAGACTAGTTTGCAACATGTAAATACTGACCAATATTTTCAGAGTGCCTTTTATATCCAAACGTGTGTTCAGCAGCCACACTCCCATGCAGACTTTGTATTTCTCTAATCACTTTATATGAGCACCTTCTAGTAACTACACAATTATGACTACATGCAAGGCAAGAGTCAAGAAAGAGCAGGCTTTAAAAAAGCTCTCCTCCAAACTCCGTACCTGTTACAAAATCCACTCTTGCCTCAAAGTGCTTGAGACAACCCTCAGCTCTTTACCCAAATCCTGTCTTCCGTGAAATTGTTTCACAAGATGAAGGAAAAAAATGCATCATCATTTTTCTTCCTCCGTTCTTTCCACACTTCAGCAGTCAGTATGTGCTGTGGTTTGAATGACCAGACACACAAGGAGAGCTCCTTTTACCATTACCCACCTGTAAATAATTCTTTTAAGCAACTAAACTTTAATGCCCACTGCAAATCAGAGGATGAAGGGTTCAATTTTACTTCTTGCTGTTCTTTTTCCTTCGAAACACGGCAAAAACACAGTGATGGAAGTCTAAGCATCCCTGTCAGAGAAGCTGTTATTCACACCCGCTGTAGGTAAAGTGAGAGGGGCTCGGGATCCCACCACCACCAGCGAGACCAAGTGCTGCATCCCGAGCCTCCGAGCACGGACTCCACAGGGAGTCAGAGGCACATTTAGGAAGAAAACACCGGGACGGTCTGAGCAGCGCTGGATTTCCCCACGCAGCTGACTCAGAGCTCGCGTTTTCCAGCGAACAGGCGCACCCCTCAACCTACCGACTGTGGGGCGAGGGACTCCAAAACTTCTGGGAAAGCAGCATTTGCATAGCCTGAGGCTGACAGGAAAACCCAGAGCAGCGTTTCCCCCGTGGACCACGCACACACAGCCCTCACAGACCCCCGCAGCTACTCAAGCCCCCTCCGTGCCCTCATGACTCCGAGGGAGCGGCTCAGTCTCCTCTATACCCTCACAGCGCTTCTACCCCCTCATGGCGCCCACCCCAGCCGCTTACTACCCCGAGGGGTCCCTCCATGTCCTCCGGACGACTCCAGTCCCTCACAACCCCCGAGTGCCCCTCCATGTCCTCAGAACGCCCCCAGCCCCTCACGCCCCTCCGGGGTTCCTTCAACGCCCTCAGAACGCCCCCAGCCCCTCACGACCCCCGGGGTTCCCTCCATGTCTTCAGGACGCCCCCAGCCCCTCACGACGCCCGGGGTTCCCTCCATGTCTTCAGGACGCCCCCAGCCCCTCACGGAGCCCGAGGTTCCCTCTACATCCACACGTCGCCTCCAGCCCCTCATGGAACCAACACACCCCCCCCGAACCCACCCACGAACTCCCCACAACTCCAGCGGAGCCGCCCCCGCTCCCTCCCCGCGCCTGCGCCGGCGGAGCCCCAGCGCGCCTGCGCCGCGCCGCCGGGTCTATAAAAGGCGGCGTTGCGGGAGCACCGCCCGGTGTCACCTCCCCGTCCCGCCGTGTCCCTGTTGCCGTCACCTCCGGCGTGTCCCGGCCGGCAGCAGCGAGCATGGAGGCGGTGGTGCGGCGCTGCCCGTTCCTGGCCCGCGTCTCGCAGGCGTTCCTGCAGAAGGCCGGGCCGTCGCTGCTGCTGTACGCCCAGCACTGCCCGCGCATGATGGAGGCGGCCCCGCCGGCCGCCCGCGCCCTCGCCACGTCCTCCGCCCGTGGGCAGCAGGCGGAGGAGGAGACCCCCGCGGGCCGCCGCGGTGAGTACTGGCCCGAGGGGCCCCCCTCGAGGGGAAAAAAAAATAACCCAGACGTGGTGTGTCACAGGGGGAAACTTCTGGAATAGGCAGCGCTGAGGCAGGGGTTGCTTAATCCTTTAAATGCCCTCCGTTAATTGAATTTATGGCATAAATCAGACCTGTTCGGGCGTCCCGGTTGGGGATCTGGGATCCTCGATCTCGGAGCGGTGTTTCTCACGCTTCAGTGGTGCTTCATCCCACCCGGGAACGTTCCTTGGCGCTCAGGGGGAGGAATTGGGGCTTGCGGCAGAGGAAGCTGCATGGATCTGAACTCCTCGAAAGTAAAATCACAATCAGTTAGGCTGGAAAAGCCCTCTGAGATCGAATCTAACCTATGACTGAATGCTACCAGGGCACTAGGTGCCGTGTCCAGTCTTCCCTTAAGTCTTTTCCTTAAATCTTCCCACCGGGAGTGAAAGAGATTTTTTTTTTCCTCTCAAAGGGTACAATGCTAAATCTAGTGTCTTAAATCAGATGTCCCTTGGGTGTTCCTGGGAATTTGTGCTTGTATAAATAAAATGTGACTGCTTGGTTAAATAGCTGTGAATGGGTCATGCCAAATTAATTGCAAAGGTGATGGATAGAAAAGCTTAAGTTGGGGTATATTAAAATGATGAAGCTGAAGTGTTTTCCCTTCTCTGCCCCCACCTCAGAGGCCAAAAATGCCAAAGAGGTGGCCCAGCAGAATAGAGATGGAGCCCAGCCTCCGACTGGCCACCCCCCTGCTGGTGCTAGCCAGAGCTCTGCTACCAAATGCCCATTCCTGGCAGCTCAGATGAATCACAAGAACAGCAACGTTTTCTGCAAAGCGAGCCTGGAACTCCAGGAGGACGTGCAGGAAATGCAGGCGGACAGGAAAGGTACGTACTCCGTGCACTGAAGCGGTGATTCCTTCCGAGAGCTTCTGGTGCCTGACTTGGCTCCGGAGCATGCCAGGTCTGACAGTCACCACTGGCATGATGCAGGTGGGATCATGGGAGACTGAAGGAAAAAGAGCTTGTGTGCAGGGTTTCCCTGGGTGATTTTGGTGTGGGAATACTGTGTGATGTATTTTGATGTGCTGGCTGGCTCTGGGTGTGTGAATCAAGCTGATGCGCTCGCACCCAAAGCAGATGCTTAGATCTGAAGAGAGCTGGTATAGACAAAGGTTTTATATCCAAAGATGTAAGAAGCTGTGTTGAGACATCAGGCAAGTACCAGCACAAATCCAAGCAGATGGTTTTGGGGTGGATTTTTTGTGTTTATGGAACCAAAGTGTGTTGGCTGGCTTGCAGTCTTGATGCGGAAGGGCTGTCCTTCAAAGGAAGGAACTTTTTAGCAGTATCAGTAAAGCCTTGCTGCCTGTTTCAGGAAGCTTATTTTACTTTTCTTTTTGCTTTCTATGGCATAGTTAAAAAAAAAAAAATCTGTGCTAACAGAAAGGAAGGAGCTAACTAGAACTCTTCCTTCAGTTAGGTGTGTACCAACCCTTTCAGATAAATGTTATAGCTGTATACAGCGTTTTTCTGAGTCATGATGAACCAAATGTGTTGTAAGGAAGTTACATGTTGTATTTTGATTGGTTAGCAAGGCTCATCCTTTTTTCTCGTCCAATGCAAATTTGTAAGCAAATAAAGCAGTTGATCCTAACAGGGGTCTGAGTTTTGGGCATGTTCTTCCTAAAGATTGAAGAGTTAGGCTTACTTAAAACATTTGCTTTGCTGAACTCAACTTATTTTTCAAAACAATTAAGCTCACTGGAATTCATTACAATGTCTGTAGGTACAGAATTTGCCAAAATACCAACTACTTCTGCAGTGAGGAGCATCGAGACTGAGGGAGAAGAGCAGAGTGGCTTGCTCAAGAAGTTTAAGGATATTATGCTGAAGCAAAGACCAGAAAGTGTCTCTCACCTGCTTCAGGATAACTTGCCAAAATGTAAGAATGCTGAGCAAAACCCCCACCGGACCAGGTCTGTTGTGATCATTTCCTGTGTGCTTAAGAAGTCTCTGTCTCATTTCAGCTGTATCCACCTTCCAGTACGATCAGTTCTTTGAGAAGAAGATAGATGAGAAGAAGAAGGATCACACCTACCGAGTGTTCAAAACCGTGAACCGGAAGGCGCAGATCTTCCCCATGGCAGATGACTACACTGACTCCCTGATCACCAAGAAAGAGGTGTCTGTCTGGTGCAGCAATGATTACCTGGGCATGAGCCGTCACCCTCGTGTCTGTGGAGCAGTTATGTGAGTAGTGCTGTGTTCTTAAGAGGCAGTTTCAAGCTATATGGCCCTGCAGAAGCTTTTGTGGGAAGGCTTCTGAGGAATTGATTTCTGTACTGTGCTACATAAGCTGCTTCTGATATGATTCTTGGTATGCAGCTAAGTGTGCACTCTTCTCTTGAGCTGTCCAGGGCTGCACTGTACCCCTTGGTCACTGATTCTGCTCCTTGGATTTTCCTTAGAAGCCCCCAAATGTTACCAGATAAACTGGATGGTATATTGCAGCTGTACTTGGGCACTGATTTCTTACCTTACTGGATTCCTGAGTTGTGCAAGTTGCTCAAAGACCTAACAGTGCTTTTTGTAGCCAGTTCCTTTTTAGTATAATCCTGATTATGTACTAGAATGTTTTCAGCAATGATCCTTCATTCCTCTGTCACAGAGCAATGCTAATGCCTCTCTTTGGGCCCTCTTTAGGGATACGCTGAAACAACATGGTGCTGGAGCAGGAGGCACAAGAAACATTTCAGGAACAAGTAAATTTCATGTCGACTTGGAAAAAGAACTAGCTGACCTTCATGGAAAAGATGCAGCACTGTTGTTCTCATCTTGCTTTGTAGCCAATGACTCCACTCTCTTCACTCTGGCTAAAATGCTGCCAGGTGAGATCTCAAACTGCACCCCTGTTACCACAAAAAACACAGCCTTGCCCTAAGCTGTTGGGAGTACGTTTTACAAATAGCTGTCCAAAGTGAGGATTCATCCTAATCCATCAGCAAAGTATGGTTGGGTACCACTTCTAATGCCATGTTCAAGTTATGTTCAACACAAATCATAGTATCAGCCTACTGAGATTGAGATCCAGGAGCTGGGAACTGCTGGAGGAATTAGACAAGCAGAGAGTCTTCTGCTCTTGCAGTTAAACTCTACCTGAAAATGAGACAGCGGGAATTTAGAAGTTATAAGAGTTACATAAAAGTACTGAGGACTTTAAAATCTTCTCTATTCCTTAAGCTATAACTTGCCTTAGTTTGAACACCTAAAATAAACCTTAAATATTATTCTTGCTTCATGATCTGTAACTTGCTCTTTTGATCAAGAGCATTACTTCCAAGGACATGCTACCCTTGTTTCCTGAACACTTCACACACATAAAACAATGCTGGGAATTGGTTAATGTTTTCTGTGTGCTGAAAAGTGTAACTGGGCTGTTTCCTCAGGTTGTGAGATCTACTCTGATTCTGGAAACCATGCCTCCATGATCCAGGGGATCCGTAACAGCAGGGTGCCAAAACATATATTTCGCCATAACGATGTCAACCATCTTCGAGAACTGTTGAAGAAGTCTGATCCATCTACCCCTAAAATTGTTGCATTTGAAACTGTTCACTCAATGGATGGTAAGCTGACACGAAAGCCTCCTCTCTCCTTCCATTTAGTCCTCCAATCATCTGTATTTTAGGTCTAAAAGCGTACAGTGCTATAAGGGCTGTTTGGGGGTAGTTCTGGTGTTTATCCAAGCTGCATACAGGGAATCCTAAAGTGCCAGTTGCTGCTTTGGTTCCTAGGTGCAGTCTGTCCTCTGGAAGAGCTGTGTGATGTGGCCCACGAACACGGGGCCATCACTTTTGTGGATGAAGTGCACGCTGTGGGGCTGTATGGAGCTCGAGGTGGTGGCATAGGAGATCGGGATGGAGTCATGCACAAGATGGACATCATCTCTGGAACGCTTGGTAATGCATGGCCTGGCACTTCCACAGCAGCTAAGGCACCAAAGCTTCTGAGCAGCCAAATTAAGTGGGTTAACTCAAAATCTGTCTACTCAAATGAACTTGTGAGGGCTCTTGGGGGTAGGATTTTTTCAAAAAGCCCAAAGGATTTAAGTTTGCCCCACAGTTTGAAAAGCTTCTGTTAAGCTACTTAGACTATCTACAAATCAGTCAAAGAAAAACCCCAAACAATGGTACCTTAAGCAAGCTAGCAAAAAGTCCTCCAGTGCCATGTTATACAACTCAAGAATAAATTCAGGTGAGAATGCTAGTAGAGTAGTTTCTCTATATTTAGTAGTACTTAGTTCCTTTATGTGAAATGGAGTACTCCTAATCCAGAAATCTGAGATGGGGAGTTATGTAAAGAGGTTTGGCAAGAAAAGAAGCAACTGCTATTATCTGAGTAGAATGCAGGCTCAGGAGTTAGTTTACTGCTGCAAATTGGAAGATTGTTTAAACAGCTTTCAAAACATAAATAAAATTTACTAGGAAAGTTCATGGCTTTGGAATTTAAACTTGGGTTACAGC